GATTGATGCACCTTTAGCCAGACTCACTAAGAAACAAAGAGAGAGGACCCAAATAAGTAAAATCAGAAATGAAAGAGGCGATATAACAACTGACCCAACAAAAATACAAAGAATTGTAAGAAAATATTATGAGCAACTATATGCCAACAAATTGGACAACATGGGGGAAATGGACAAATTCCTAGAAGCATACAACCTTCCAAAGCTGAATCAAGAAGAGGCAGAAAACCTGAATACGCCGATAACAACTAATGAAATTGAAGCAGTAATCAAAAAACTCCCAGCAAACAAAAGTCCTGGACCAGATGGATTTACAGGCGAATTTTACCAAACATTCAAAGAAGAATTAACACCTATCTATTCAAACTATTCCAGAAAATTCAAGAGGAGGGAAAATTCCCAAACTCTTTTTATGAGGCCAGCATCATCCTAATCCCAAAACCAGATACAGATGCTACAAAGAAGGAAAATTACAGGCCAATATCCCTGATGAACATAGATGCTAAAATCCTCACTAAAATACTAGCAAACCAGATCCAGCAATACATTAAGAAGATCATACATCATGACCAAGTGGGATTTATTTAAATTCCGGGGATGCAAGGCTGGCACACAACATTCGCAAATCAATAAATGTGATACATCACATAAACAAAATGAAGGACAAAAATCATATGATCATATCAATAGACGCAGAAAAAGCATTCGACAAAATCCAGCACCCATTTCTGATAAAAACTCTCAGCAAAGTGGGAATAGAGGGATCATACCTCAACATAATAAAGGCCATATATGACAGACCTACAGCCAACATCATACTCAATGGGCAAAAACTAAAACCATTTCCATTAAAAACCGGAACAAGACAGGGATGTCCACTTTCACCACTCTTATTCAACATAGTACTGGAAGTCCTTGCCATAGCCATCAGACAGGAAGAAAACATAAAAGGTATCCAAATTGGAAAGGAGGAAGTAAAACTGTCATTATTTGCAGATGACATGATATTGTACATAGAAAACCCTAAAGACTCCATCAAAGTACTACTAGATTTGATAAACGAATTTGGCAAGGTAGCTGGATACAAAATCAACATCCGGAAATCAATGGCATTCTTATACACCAACAATGAACTTTCAGAGAGAGAAACTAAAAAAGCAACACCATTTACCATTGCAACTAAAAAAATAAGATACCTAGGAATAAACTTAACCAAGGATGTAAAAGACCTGTACTTGGAAAACTACGTGACACTGAAAAAAAGAAACAGGAAGATTTAAACAAGTGGAAGAATATACCATGCTCATGGATTGGAAGAATTAATATCATTAAAATGTCCATACTACCCAAAGCAATTTATAAATTCAATGCAATTCCTATTAAAATACCAACAGCATATTTCACAGACCTAGAACAAACATTTCGAAAATTTATATGGAATCAAAAAAGACCCCGAATAGCTGCAGCCATCTTGAGAAAAAAGAACAGAGTAGGAGGGATCACGTTACCGGACTTCAAACTGTATTACAAACCCACTGTAATCAAAACAGCCTGGTACTGGTAAAACAACAGGCATATAGATCAATGGAACAGAACAGAGACCCCAGAAATAGACCCACGCCATTATGGTCAGTTAATATTT